TTGCCGACGAACTTTTTAGTGTCAAGACCGCCGAAGAGGATAGTTCCTTGCTCAGCACTGAGGTCGTTCTGTCGGTTTATTAGTCAGGGGTTAATTATTGTTGTTGTTCCTTGCTGACTCACCAGCCAGAGACTGAAGGCAGCTCGGTCGATCAGGCCCTGAGACACCATGTTCTCGACAATGGTTGGGTATGTCCCGTTGGCGACGACATTTGCAGAGAAGCCCAAGCCCATGAGGCCCGTTGGACGAACAGATTTCGTCGCGAGGCCTAGCCTCTGCTGCTTGATGCTTTTCCCATCGATGGTGACGGTATCGTTGAAGTAATCACCACTAATAGAGCGGGTATCAAGATAGGTGATGTCGAATCCATCACGATCGACCAGTTCATAGGTACGACTCTTGTCAGGTTTAACTACAGAAGGTTCGTATATTCAGTCTTGGTGGTTGAGATGGGAGAGTAGCTTACATGTAGTCATACAAGGGCCAATAGTCTCTTGCTTGGTTCTGCTGTTGCAGAGATCGGTCTCATCTGAGTTGAGCCAAGTATCACTGCTACCAGTGTCAAGTTGGAAGCTGATGTTTTGGCCTGGGGTACCGACTTGAAATTCGGCGTAATAACCACCCCCTGTGATATTGTTCAGAGCAGCGAGACTGAGAGTGTCGCGGCTGTGAAGGGACGATTCATGATGGAATCGTTGCTTTACAACCGGGGCAGAGACAGTGCCAGCAGAAACTCCAACGGCGAGAGACGTTAGAATCGTAAAGGTTCGCATTGTGCTAAAGTCAATTGGGAGGCTGCTGAATAGAGTTATCACACTAGCACGCGTTGATCTGCAACGGTACCTATACAACAGGAAGCAATAAACGAAAACAATATATATATAGACTTAATACGATGAAGAATAAAAAGATGAAAAGGTTTAAATCTATAAGAAAACGACCAAGGAATCAGCTTAATTCCAAGGTATTATTAATTTAGCGTCGGTAGTTAAAAAGGAGTGAGACGAAGAAGAAGAAGAAGAAGAAGAAGAAGATTGTAATTTAGAGGAGAGAGCTGAACTTTTTCTCTTTTGATCAGCTGGAGACTTGCCAAGACTTGCCCAGGCGGTTAAGGCAAGTAAGTACTTATGTAGGTAGGCAGTGCCTACGCCACTAAAACGCCCGAGTCTGAGCCTGAGTCTGCCTTATTAGGGGTGATTATCCAATTGGATCCAAGCAATTCAGCCACTAACTAGAGCCCCTACATAAACCTAGGCAGCCCCTGGGAAAGCTCCAGGGTTTGGCATTTTTTAGCGGTCCTTCAAGGATGTAACGCTACGCTACAGTGGATGCCACTCAAGCCAGGCGGGAATATTCCATCCTTCTATGGATTTGTAGGAAGAAGGAATTGGCAATTGCTACGTGTACGAGGCTTAGCTTTGCTGAACAGTCTTGGAACCTGCGACTCAGTTGGAGCCTGAAGGATCATGTTTCATCAGTCTTTGAAGATGATTAAGAGCACATGATTCGTCTTCGGGAGACATTTATATAGAGGCTTGAGCCTTGTCGTTCTTGTACTGTAAAGTATTTCTCTTCTTATTGTTCTGTCTTGTCGATAGTTTGATTGTGGGCTGATGTGCAAAACAGGCACAGGCATCACTTCCATCATAGACTCTCTTGTAGCACAACTTTCTAATTGTGTGTGACTTTGCATGTGAGTTCTTGCTAGAAAGAAGTCTAAACTTCTCCCCACAGAACGAGCATTATATTGGAATGATTCAAATCTTTAGCAGTATATTAATTAGTAATAGCTCATACGTGGTGACAAACGGAGTGACAGAAGTTGTGGACAGAAGAACTTACAGGACGAGACCGTGGGTATTCGCCTTACTCTTGGTTTCAACCAAGGAGACATTGCAAAGGTTCAGTTGATCCTCTAGAGTCTCGGCGGGTTCGTGCTCATAGTCTTCTATCCACACGCAGACAGGCTTCAGTCGCCGCACTTCGGCCTGAAGACAGCGTAACTCCCAGCTGTCCACCTTTCTCTTGACAGTGTTAGACCCCGCCCTGATCTTGTTGTACTTGATCAGGTCGTAGCACTGAAAAGCTACGGGGCCTATCACCTCCGGATCAACTGGCCGGACCCTTTCGTTTTCAGACTTGATGGACCAATACCGGTCCATCAGTCTTGGGTCCCAGAGGCAGTTGAATGTCACAGGGTGGACTCCGATAGTCTTTACGAGCTTCTCGAAGGCCACCTTGCAAACGGGACACCAGTCAATGACGATTGCGATGACACTGACTGGCTCGCACTTCTTCTGCAGGAGGACCCTGTTGAAAAAACCGATGAAGGACTTGGCCCGCTTGCATATCCATCTCTCCTCGTACAAGGAGTGGCCACAGGGAGCGAAGAGAAGATGGCGGTCTTGACACATCTTGTTAGTATAATCTGTAGAGTAAAGAAGAGTTGAAAAAGACGGAAAATGAAATCAAGGCTTGCCTCGAAATGGGTTGTTCGTGTGTTGTAGTGTCGGAGTGTTGGAATGGTTGTATAGTAGGCATCGATCAAAGATTATGATTAGGATGTTTGAAACGCCAAATTGGTGTTGTTAATTGTGATGGAAAGTTAAGAATAATTAAGAAAGAAGAAGAATCTGGGTAGAGAAGAGGCCACATATTTATACCAAAATCTTGGAGGCAATATCATGAACCGTATTCGGACTCTGGCTGAACATATGCTTGTTCTCCCGTGTTCAGGCGGACAGGACAGAAAGTGACAAGAGACAACTCAAGAGCATCATCATTGACGCAAGTTGCCGAAGGGTATGCACTTAATTCAATGCACAGCGCCACGGGAAGTGTTGTTGGGGGCTAACATGGTCAGGAAAATGGGAGCTATCACAATACTGTAGCCAATGAGTCCGAAGAAAACTCCCGTACATGATATGTTGAACAACGCTTTGGCCGTAGAACAAGTATGTAACTTGCTCTGAACAAGTAAATGAGCAAAGGGAGGTGAATGATGAACAATATATCAACCAGCTGTTCATTGCCTGAACAGTAAAAGTCGAAGGGAAAGTCCTTTAAAAAGGGTTCAAGTTTGACGTAGTTGTCAAAGGTAGTAATTAGTATGTATGGTATCAGTCAACAGATGAAACGAACAAGCAAACAAGCAAACAAGCCAGCAAACAAGCAAACAAACACGGCTCATGGCTCAGAAGCAGATCACAGCTTCGCACCCTTCTCTCCGCCATCCTGCTTAAGCCGAACAACGCCCTGAACATAGTTAGCATAACTCTCATATCACTCAAATCAAATCAAATCAAATCACAGACAAGGCTCACCTCTTGGAAACACGTCGCCAGCAACGCCCCATCCCTGCCAAATATCTTCTGTGTAACAACACCCCTGCCATCTCCCGCCCACGGACTCTCCATCTCGGTAAACATCCACTCATCCGCCTTGACTGCCAGTGGCTCGTGGAAGTAGATGCTGTGATCCAAACTCACCAGCATCCCCACCTGTGCCCGCCCCTTCCAGTCCTCCACGTTACTGCCCATGCCCTCAAACTCGCACAGACTCTTGACTTGCTCTTGGGTCTTCTCATCCAGCGAGGGTACTTCTTCTGGCGAGAACGGGAAGCGCCATAGTCCGTGGAGACGGGAGACCGTGCCGATGAAGTAGCTGTCCGACATGTAGGCCAAGGCGTTGAGATGTGCTTGGTGGCCACCTCCAGCTGAGATCTTTTGTCTCGAGCGCATCCACTGTCTGCTCTTGCGGTCCTGTGGCTTGCAGTTTGGGTCCTGGGCGCCCAATACTTCGATTCTGTGGCTCTGAAACGGTCCAGTCCTTGCCCACTCAGGCTCGCCATCCCAGTCCTCTGACGGCGGGCTCACACCCTTCGGCAGGCTCGCCGCATGGCTGACCTCCCGTCGCTTCTTCTCAGGAGGTGTCTCACGCACGAAACTGATGGTGGTGGTAAAGATGCACGCGCCCTTTTGCCGCGCTTGGACCGTGCGTGTTGAGTACGAGCGTCCGTCGCGTACACGCTCAACATGGTAGAGAATGGGTATCTCAGAGTTGCCCGCCAGCAGGAAGTAGCAATGGCATGAGTGGACTAGGAACGTCTCCGGGACCGTCTTTTGCGCGGCAGCAAGACATTGTGCGATGACAGCACCTCCATAGATACCACGAGCACCAGGAGGATGCCATTGAGGTTGTGTGTTTGTAAAGATGTCCTGTGACCAGTCAGTAACGCTAACTTCGTAATTATTTGTATTGATACCATGCAGTGAGAGTAGTATCACATATCACTCATTGATTTGACGTAACCGAAATAGGTGATGGAAAAGAGGCACGACTTACAGGGCCTAGAACCTTGATCTCTGTGACGTCCAATACATTCTCAATCAGAGACTTGCTCTCATCGTGCTCTGGTGGCCGCAGTAGAGTCGGTCTAACGTTGTCCTCAATGACTGTCATTTTGCTATCCCGCTCCAATTGAATGAATGCGCTGTATTGCTGCCGATGATGCTGGAAAGAAGTTGTGGATACTCAGGAATAGTCAACATGTAGTATAGGCACTATCTTTTAAGGAGAAAGATGATGTCTTTAGAGGCCGAGCTTTCATGTGCTGCCTCACTACGAGCTCCCTAGTCTACGTACGTAACCTGCCCCTGATGAGTTTAAGCTTGTCCTTTTTTACCGAGGTTCGGAGGCTATGCCGGCCGTGGGGCCGAATCTACCTCGTTATCGGCCACTCAGAGCCCGGCAGTGCACAGTTATTCTCCGTTCCGGGAATTACAACGGTACCTATCTTGATTTAGCCCAATAAATGCTAATTTGAACCTCAATAGTGATGGAGATGCGTCTGCAACTTGTACTGCTCTGTATAAGCTTCCAGAACTCTACCAACTATACCTAAACAACTTCCCCATACCATCGTAATAGCTGCATTTCTCACATTTCTCAAACCTCTCTCTTTTTTGTGTAATTAACAATTTTAACGATCAACAATTATATCACCGAATCGTATCCTCATCCACATGGTCTTCATAAATGGGTTCCAACCCCTCCCACGCAACTTGGGGATCACCGTTTGGACCGGCCTTCTCGCGTCGCTCCCAGTACTTGCCAGTGAATTGCCAATATTCCTCTCCGGTGATCTCACAACGTGCCTTTCGGAACCACGCGGGCACAAACTCATCGCCACGCTCTTCTCGGAGACGCCGGCGCGCTCGTTGAGCATTCTCCAGACGATTCTTCTCATCAGCAGCAAAATCATACTCTCCATCCTCCATGGCCCGCTGATCAGGTCGAAGACGAGAGTCAGTAGGTGGAAGCCATGGGCGGAGCTTGTCATCGATATGGTTGAAAGTCAAGACGAATGGCGTCAAGTTGAAAGGAATGCCAGTTGGACGCTCATTCGCCTTCCAGATGAGATACGCACGGTTGGGGTCTGTAAGACCACCTTGGGCCATGTCACCGCCACTCTCCTTAGGTTCATCAACGGCTGCTTCGTAGCCTGGGGTCAGGCGAGCGTACAGCTTGGAGTTCCAGCGACCACCAAGACTGACGCGAACCTTTCCAGTTGCATCGGTAACCTTTCCAGATACTTGATATGCGCTCGATGCCTTCCAGCCACGCGGTTTGAACTCAACGTGAGCCACCTCGCCCGTTGTCCAGTTCTTGATCTCCATTACGCCATAGTTGTCGACGGTTGGGTTTCCAGTGATGATACCAATGACAGACGAGGTAACCTTCTTCCATGTGTAAAGCTCCTCCTTTCCTCCAGCGGTGGGCCGCAGCTTGAGAAACCATGTACCTAGCGGGTTGATGTCGAAGGATTTACCATAGAACTTCGACTTCACAGCCGATTCACCCCAATAAGACCACTTGGGTGACTCTGCGTGCGCGGCGCCGACTGGAGGGTGATGGCTGACTTGCTCGATGAAGAAGCGGTAGTTCTTGTCGGGCCGCACATACTCAAAGGTCTCTCCCAACAGTGGGTTGAAGGGCTTGGCCACACGTCCGATAGTTGAAGCGTACTCACTAGCAGCAAAGGCAGCCACGTAGATAAGTCGTTCGATCGAGTCGGCCCGGTCAGCAGCCAAGTCAAGCAAATCGGCATACTCCATATCCTCTCCAGCACGATAGAGAAGTGAAGTTGGCTCGTTGAAAGAAACAGGCAGAGTCATCTTGGTCATATCCTTGCCAATCATCGACTTCAGAATACCCTACTCCAGATTAGTATTGTTCATATGTCACGTATATGTAGTAAACGTACCCAGAGAGAAATCTTAGGACGGTCATCGGCGTCCATCTTGAGCCTCGTTCGAATGCCATTCTCGTAGCCCTTGAAAGAGGAGCTGATGTCTAGACCACCAGAGACGACAATATCCTGAGACTTAGGCTTGACCTCCTCCGCGGGGAGCTCAGATACCTCAACCTGGCCAGCATCCACAGCGTCGAAGAACTCGTCCTCTTCTTCGGATTCACTCTCGGACAAGTCCACGATGATTGTGGGTTTCCTTCGGACGCTCTTCATCGTAGGCGATTTAGGCGGCACTGGTGACAGTTTGGTGGCAGCATCTTCGAACTTTCCTTCTTCATCTTCCTTCTCTCTGTCATCGCTCAATTCCTTCTCGGCAATTGTGTCCTCAACACGGGGCATGGCCTCTTCTACGCCGACGGGTATCCCGCTTTCGATCACCTCTCTTAGCGCCCTCTTTGTGGCCTTGCGTCTCTTCTCTGCCTCTCCAACGCGAGCCTCCAGAACCTCTTGCTCACGGGCCACTTGCGCCATGCTTTCCTCCCACATACGTCTCATATTAGCTTCACGGTCAAGGCGGTATTGCCAGTAGGCGTCACGGTCTTTGGAAATGCGCAGTAAGTCGGCTACCAGAGTTGATAGACTTCGAATGGCGGCATCGTATGTTCCGAGAGCCTGCGTCACGCTGTTGTCAGAGAGAGGTGTGTTCGGGTTCTGGTTCAGCTCGTTGAGAAGGGCTTGGTGAACGTGAGACATTGTTTCGAGCTGGAGCTTAGCCGATTGAGCAGTAATGTTGAGTGCATCCTTAGTAGCTGTGGGTTCTTCATGAATGCTCATATCGTCGCCATAATCGTCGTCGTCATCCATATCGTTATGTGTTGGCGCTCCATTCCTGGGTGCCCGCGAGGTGCCTGCATCAGTCTCAACATCAACGAATTCATCCTCCTCAAAGCTGCCAGTTGTACCAGGGCTAGTATGGCTTGGTCTCTGATCGACAGACGATATCTTGGACAGAGACCTGCTTGGAAGTTGAGAGCTATTCCTGCGTAGATCTGTGACGCTGGTGTTCTCGCTGTGAGAGTCCTGGAGAGAAAGCGTACTTGGGTCGGCTTTAGCCTGCCTCAAAAGCTCCGCACCTCGAGCTGCCCGCTTCTCTTCCTCCTTGGCCTGATCCTTGGACCACTGGATCGAGTTATTGAGGGCCCAGAACCATCGCTTGGCCTCAACCTCATGGTTCGCTTTAAGGGTATATTTGACAGAGGATTTGCCATGAATTTCGAACTTCGTCTTTTCATCAGGACTCATGTGGAGTTTCGCAATACGCATATTTATGGCACCTCGGCATGCGGAGCCTGCATCGTCTTGGTGCTTGTAGTAGCTGAGAACGCCATCCTCAAGCACGAACCATCGCAGTTGGTAGCCCTTCCTGTAGTTGGTCCATTTCTTGAGATAGCCCTTCATCTCGCGAGCCTCTCGGCCGGCTAGAGGATCACCGGATGCAGAACCTGCTGTGCCCTGGGAAGCGGCCTGCCCCAGCACAGCTTTCTCCTGGATTCCACGCTGGGCAGCTACAGCTGCTGGAGACTTTTTGAGGATTGCCTTTGTGGCATCGTCGTTTGTGACGGACTGAGGCAGCTTGCCCTTTCGATCACGACGGAAGGGGTCGGCACCATGCAGAAGCAGAACCTGGATGAGGTTGGTGTTTTTCTTTCTTGCAGCTTCGTGAAGCAAAGTGCCTCCAGTCTGGACTGTAAATGGTTCGGATGCGAATTCGGGGCTGTTGATGTCGAGAACGGTCTTGACTCGGTGCTCCTCGAGAACACCAGCAAGTGCGCCATAGTTGCCCCGCGCAATCAGTTCTTGGACTTGCTTGACCTTGGCCTCGGCGAAAAGGGATCGTGAGAGCTGCAGTAGCTGGAAGATTTCGGGGTTTCGTGCGACGTCGAGTGGCAGTTTGCCTTGGGCGTTGGCAATAGCATCGTTGATATCCTTTTGCTCGAGAAGAAGCTTCACGACTGTGGTGCGGCCCTGAATTGCAGCCAGGTGAAGCGGGGTGTTGCCATCCTTGTCGCGGGCATTCACATCGATCGATCCCTGTCCCTCGGACAAAACGTATTCAATGACAGGGAATTCGGCACACTGAATCGCTAGGTGAAGGATTGTGGTGTCGTCGAGAGCGCTTGTGGCAGAAGCGCCTACTGATGAGATGCTCGCTCGCGGGGCGTTCTCAGCTGTCTCGCGAATGGCACGGGAGATGGATGAGGTGTCGCCGCTTCGGAGGGCCTCGACGAACCTGAACTTTCGAACGGACTGCTCGAGGCTTGCAGTGCTTTTCTCGGCAGAGGGCGATGAGAGGAATTGCTGGGACTTTGATTGAGAAGCTGTAGGCGAGAGGCCAGCCGAGGAGACGGACTGCTTGGCCCCGTGGCCTCGCGGGGTCTGCTGGTGCGCCATGGGGTTGATTGGGTTTGAGGATGAGGGAGTTCTCCGAAGCCTCCCGTCTTCGGAACCGGACTCTTCGTCGCGAGTGTTGTTGCGCCGCAAAAGAGAGAGGGCGGCGGCGGATTTGGACCGCTTGTGGGTGCTGAAGATAAAAAGATAAACAGCGGTCAGTAGGTGGAACGACTTTTGATGCTGGGGGGTTGGTCAAGCAGTAGAGGGGAAGCTAAGTTTAAGTACGAGAGCGAAGCATGTGTGATGTGGCCCAGTTGCGACTCCATTGCATCTACTGCATCTGGTGTGCGTGCATATGCAGCGGTAATTGCGAGCCAATCTGACAATGCAGCAGCTCTCTTGGTGCTGCAAAAGCCCAGTAGCAACGGTAATTATCACTATCACTTGGAAACTCACCCGTCACCGGCGTCAGACATGTTGGCCAACGTCTACCAATGGATCGAGCTCGCCTCCCAAAGTTACTGTATGTATATCGAGCCGAGGCGGGGAATAAGAGAAAATAGGGGCCAGACACTGGATTGACAACAAGGAAGTGCGATGCAGTCAGGTAAGGTAGGTATCGTGTACAGGGGTGTTGCTGGTCAATGCCAAGCAGTTGTGAATGCTGAGCTTTGGTGTTGATGTAGGTGAGGGGGAAACGGAAAACCTTGGTCGCCAGGTTGCAAGGAAAACAAAAGCGACCGGATCTAGATGATGCGGTTGATGGGATGAATTCGTCACGACGGGACAGAGCTGATCAGCCAAAACCCCAATGTTAGGTTGCTACTGTACAAAGGTACCGCCCAGAGATAGGTAGGGACCTTAGCAACAGCGCTGTAACCGGTCATGGAAGGGCCATTTTGGAGCTTCACGCCAGGTGGGGAAAGCTTCTTGGATAGGCGATAGATTAGTAGTTCTAGGGGGCACTGCCACTATCATGACAACCTTCAGATTCTACCAAAACAACCTGATAAGTTGAATCTGAGGTCCCTGTAATCACCAATGTAACATCGGATGCCATACATCGCTTAACCTGGCACAGCTGAGCATTCGTCACCGTTCGGAGATTTCAGACCGTTGCAACCTCACCTCACCTCACTCATCAGACTGTCACTCTGTATGAGGTCCTTAATAAAAGCTTCTCCTCATATCCCTCCCGTCCAATGACGTCTTCCCCTCGAACCAATCAATCAATCAAGCTTTACCGTGACAACAACCGGGTTCCTTTGTTAGCTCCGAGGAGGCTCGAGCCTACAAGGTCAATCAGCCCGCGACCAGGAATAATACATAAACCGCTAACTAACAGGCCAGCTTTTGAGTTTGACGTCGCCGAGGTAACTTGAAATGATTAACATTGCTCAGAAGCTTTCCATTCAATAATAAGAGGCTCGCGGAACTGAACAGTTCTTTGTTGTTTATACTTACCATGCCTTGAACGCGTTTGACGCAGCCATGAGGCACACCCAACGATCCAGCACAGGTTGAGATATAGCGGCAGCCGCTGACGTATCATTCTGCATTAAGAAATCCCTATTTTGACACACAAGCGCCCATCAGATAACAAGTGTCACCAAGAGGCATATAGGCTATACTACAGAGCAGATTCGATTGATCAGCAAACAACGTTGCAATATTGTGCTTGGGAACAGTTCATCGGGTACAGAGTATGAGCCATGTGTGACGTTTCAGGTCATGAAATAATCTACATAGCAGGATTCTTTGCATCAAATATCATTGAGTTCTAACGGTAACATATGTATGTATTCATTCTATACACATTAACATAAATAGGATGGCATGAACTGTAAAGGCCATTGACCTCTACATTAAGAAGGTATAATAAAAGGAATCTTGACATTGGTGACAAGAGAAGAAAGGGGAGCGATCAAAGAAAGTCTAAGGAGTATGTCTCTCTCTACAGCGCAAGCGCCTGGAAGAGCACCATACCGGCCATCAATGTCAAACCAACAGCGAGAGAAGAGGCTCCGGCAGTAGCGGGAGTGATCGGAGCTGGAGCATAGGTTGGAGCCGACGCCGGTACCGATGTGTAGCCACCAGTAGGTGCGGCAGCACCGGAAGACTGCTGATGCGTGGGCTTAGCCTGCTCGAAAACTCCAGGCTTAGCAGCTGTCTTGAGCGTAACAGGAGGGACAGCAACACTGGTGTAGACTGTGCCGTTGTAATGAGCCTCCTTAGTGGCAACCTTGGGCATCTCAGGCACAGGCCTGTAGATCTTAATGAGCTGAGTTTGCTGCGCAGGCACAGTAGCCGTGGTCCACGAAGCGATCTCCGTGGTGATGGCGCCTACGACACAGTCAGGAGTATCGGGAGCACATTGGCTGATGGTGTTGACCCTGCTTGTGTAGAGAGTCTTGATCTCATGGTTGTAAGGGACATCAGTGGGAGCAGGCTTGCCCTTCTCTGTCACAGGGCAGACCGTGGTGTAGACGGGGATAGTCTCTGTGGTAACAGATCCATAGGGGCAGTCTGCGACTTCAGGAGGACACTTGGTGACGGTTTGGATCCTTGTGGTGTAGACAGTCTTAGTCTCGTACTGAGAGGGCACAGCGTAGTTGGTAGGCTTGGCCTTACCAGTAACGGGGCAGACAGTGGTGTACAGAGGGATGGTCTCGGTGACCACGTAACCATCCACAGCAGTGTGAACTCGGGTCGTGCAGACAGTGCTGGTGGTCATGCTGACAGCATAGGTGTTGTCGGGGTACTTGGTGTTAACAGGCGAGCCCTTGGTAATAGTTGCAGTGCCAGAGGGGATAAGGGTCGTAGGGTTGCCATACTTCTGAGTATAAGAAGGAGCACCATAGGTGGCATTCCAGCCTTTGAAGGTGCTGAAAGTAGTCTCAGCAGTGGCAGACTCGGTTTCCTGGGCAGAGTCCGTTGTCTTGGCAGTTTCGGTGATTGTGTTACTCTCGAGAACGGCATCAGTGGTCGAGGTCGCGGTCGCGGCATCCCGAGTGATAGCAGACGAGTCACTAGTGGCTGTGACATCGACTGTGGCAGATGCAGTACCGGTACTCAAGACACTGCCAGTTGCGGATGTCTCAGTGGTGTCAGCGGAAGAATCAGTGGCTGTGGCTGATGATTCAGAAGCGGTAGTGTCGGTGACAGAACCAGAAACATTTGTTGCAGAGCTATCAGTTGTCTCGGTTGCTGAGGAAGCATCAGATGTAGCAGAGGTAGCCAGTGTTGATGTGACATCAGTAGCCGCGGAGGTATCAGAGCTGGCTGTAGAGCCTTCAGTGGAAGAAACACCAGAGGCTGTGGTAGCATCAGCAGTCGTCAACCCACTAGTTGTGGCAGTTTCCGTGGACGAAACATCAGATGAAGAGGCACTGGATGTGGTTGTTACACCAGTAGTAGTAGAAATATCGGCAGTAGTTGTGTCAGCTGTTGTAGCAAGTTCTGCAGTAGAAGTAGCCTCAGAGGTAGTGGCCAAGGCAGTGGTGGTTGTAACAGGAACAGGGTCACAGCCATACTTCAGGGCATCCATGACATGCTCATTATAGTTCTTGCCGTCAATCTCGTTACCAGCACCACGAGTCAAGTCCCAGAGAGAGATGCCAGCGAAGTGAGTCTTGTCCTTGAGAGCACAGACGAGATCCTTCATGGCTTCCGGCTCAAGATAACCTCCGCCTGGAGCAGCAGCCTCGCTAGCAGGCAGGCCAACATAGAGCTTGGCGTTCTGACTAGATGCACTGTTTTCAACAATGCCCTCCCAGTCATCGTAATTGAATCTATCCCATGAGACAGAAGGGTCGGGGATAGCATCACAGCCGGGGTTGTTGTAGAACTGAATGAAGAGGGCGTCGAACTTGGCCTGGTTGATCATGTCTTTCATGTAGAAGTATTGGTTGCTGGTAGGGCACTGAGGTGCGCCGGTAATGATGACATCGCTGTTCAATCGGCGGAGCTCGTTGATCATGGCGATATAAGGGCCGTTGGCTTGTGGTTGTTAGCTGGTGCTCCGTTCTTCAATATGTTGGTCATCACGTACGGAGGTCATGCTCGATATCAAAGTCGAAACCATCGACAGCAGGACGAGTTGTGCCATCGTCACTGTCAAAAGGACGAGGACCATCCCAGCTCTGATCGTAAGGACCGAATGCCTTGTACAGGAAGTCTGCGAAATCAACGCCCTTGTCATCAGTGGTCACCTTGTAGTTGCTTCCAGCTTCGTTGTAGACTCCACCAATGCTCAGAAGAACCTTGACTCCGCGCTGCTGGCAGTATGGAATGCCCTCTTTGATAGTGTAGCATTCGCTGAGGAGTGATGAGGCCACGCCGTTTTTGTTACTGTAGACACCAGCCGCACAGTGTCCGGCAAAGTTGGTACCAGGATAGCCTGACTCTGTATGTTCGGGAGCCTGGTTCACAAAAGACAAAGTAACGTACTCTGGAGCGGAATCACAGTAGGACTTGAGTGAATCGGATCCAAGTTGACCCTACAGAAGTTGGTCAGTTGGTTATTTCCAAGACTGTGAGTTAAACAAACCCAGTATCCATTGAGTCCCAGGGAGAGACCAGAGCCACTCGGAAAAGAGATAGAAGACATTGCCACGAGATGGGTGACTGAAAGGCTGTAAAAGACCGTAATGTGGCCGAGGCCGTTAAAGAATGTGTTGATACGATTATCAAAGAAAGGACGCAAACCAAAGTTTGCAATGAGGCCGAGGACCGAGCCGTCTTGAATTTACTGTCAACAGAGTTGATGGGAAAGACAGAGAGGAACACCGGGGAAGAGAGGGAAAGCCCTCTATTATGGAGGGAACTAACACTCGGGAAATTTCTGCCCTAGACGCATCTCATAACGGCCAAAGCCATCTCAGCTGTTGGCTTTCCAGCCATTTGAACCGGTGGTTGCCTATCTAGGACATAGTAAGGAGTCTTGTCGCTAGAGGAGGACCATTTAGACATAGACCCCGGGGTTGTCGATGGAGTACGGCGAAATAGGCCACATCGTGCAAAGTAATCTCCGCCTTGGAACAGCAGAAGAAGGCTCTTTCTGTGAACTCTTGCAGTTCGGACACCTGAAGGAGGCTATCGATTTCAGGAAGAGGCTAAGCGTTGATCGAAAGTGGACTTGGGCGGCTGAGGAACTATTGAAAATGGGCGTCTGAGCCGCGTAGCCGATGCGCCAAGGTGAGAATGGGGACGGTGATAAGGTAAATCCAGCCGCTAAGCTGCGTTTATGGTGTCATTATATCACACTATGGTTGATATGGGAAGCGGTTCAGAGGGGAATTATGGAAATTGGATCTTGGCAGGCCAATGATTCCCATCTAAGGCTGATAGATGGAGATGGTTGATGTCCGTTTGGAGACGGCGCCAATACCGGTGTCTGTCTGGTCACTACGGCGAAGGTGTAAGTCTTAGGGGTAGTGTGGATGGGGATAGGGAATTGACTCGGTTCGATTATCTC